GTGAAGAAGACTTGAAGCACTTATTTGCAGATGATCAAAGACTACACTCTTCAATATGGATTATATCCCAGTGTCAAGAAAACAGAAGTTCTCACCAATGGACCAAAAGGCAACATTGTGATGTTGTTGTTGTTATGTGCCGTCGAGTCGTTTCCGACTCATAGTGACGCTATGCACAACAGCCCTAAATCCTGCTCTATCCTGCGCCAACAGCACCGCCCCCGACACACCCATCCCGATTACCCCAGTCACCGAATCAATCCATCTCATACAGGATCTTCCCCTCCTGCGCTGTCCCTCCACCCTCCCAAGCATGATGTCCCTCTCCAAGGACCCGTCCCTCCTGGCAACATGTCCAAAGTATGTCAGACGAAGCCCCAGAATCCTTGCCTCCAAGGAGTAGCTTGGTTTAATCCTCTCCAAGATGAATGTGTTTGTTTTCCTGGCAGTCCAGGGTACATTCAGTACCCTTCTCCAGCACCACAGCTCAAAAGCATCCACTCTCCTTCTGTCTTCCCTAGTCATTGTCCAACTCTCTGATGCATAACAAGCGATTGCAAATACCATGGCCTGTATCAGGCGCACCTTAGTCTCCAGAGAGACACTGTTGCTCCTGAGTACCTTTGAGAGGTCCCTAACAGCAGACTTTCCCATTGCGATACGCTTTTTAATTTCCTGACTGCTGGTACCAAGAGTGTTGACTGTGGAGCTGAGCAAACTGAAGCTGTGAACACTCTCAATCTCTTCGTCATCCATCCTGACACTGCCAATTGGTCCAGTGGCGAGAATCTTTGTCTTCTTGACATTGAGCCTTAGTCCATACTGAAGGCTGCAGTCCTTGACCCTTCGCAGCAAGTGCATGAGGTCCTCCTCAGTTTCAGCAAGCAGGGTTGTGTCATCTGCATAACGGAGATTGTTAATAGATCTTCCACCAATCCTGATGCCACAATTCTCCTCATAGAGCCCAGCCTCTCGGATAATCTGCTCTGCATACATGTTGAAAAGGTATGGAGACAGGATGCATCCCTGGCGTACACCCATTGTGACAGAAGAAGAAAAGATTGGAGTTCTCAACCACTTCATTTTACTTGAATCCACAATCAACAGCCTTGGTGGCAGCACTCAAGAAATTAAAAGATGTGCTGCTTTGGGAAAAACTGCAGTCAAGGACCTCTCCAAGGTGTTATAGAGCAATAATATAAATTTAAAGACTAAGATCCAAGCAACATACTTTGGACATGTGAGGAGAGACCAGTCCTTGGAGAGGGACATGCTTGGGAGGGTGGAGGGACAGTGCAGGAGAGGAAGGCCCTCTATGAGGTGGATTGATTCAGTGACTGGGATAATTGGGATGGGAGTGTCAGAGACAGTGCGATTGGCACAGGACAGAGCGGAGTTTAGGGCTGTTGTACATAGGGTTGCTATGAGTCGCAAGCGACTCGACGGCACATAACAACAACAACAACAAGATCCAAGCTATGGTCTTGTCAGTTACTTCCTATCCATCTGAAAGTTGGACACTGAGTAACAATGAAGGAAGAAAAATCAATACCTTTTAGTTGTTGTGTTGGAAAAGAGTACTGAATATTCCATGAACTGCCAAAAGAACGAACACATTTTTCTTTGAGGAAGTGCAACCTTCTGTTTGTTAGAGTCAAGAATTTGGTTAACCTTTATCTCATATACTTAGGGAATGTTATCAGGAGGGGTGAGTCCTTTGAAAAAGACATCTTGCTGGGAAAAATGAAGCGTCAGAGAGTGTGACAGTGAACTCAGGTACATCAGAGATGATGAAGATAGCACAGGATAGGCCAAGTTTCAGATTTGTTATTCGTAGGGTCACTGTAAGTCGTAGGTGGCTCAATGGCACATAACAACAACTGCAACAACAATAGTCTATTAGACTTTTGACTTTCCACATTTATTATTTTTATAAAAGGCAGCATAACCTTGAATGGCCTTGCTATTTATTTGGTATAGAATTGAAGAAAAGAGTGTGGAACTTAGTAATTCAGCCTGGTGTGGTTATCAGATTTATGAGTAGGTAGCCACCAAGCCCAAGGTGGGTGATTTTAATCTGCGGCCCTCAGTCCTGGTTCAAATTGATTTTTTGTCAAACTTTCTTCTAGGTGGTATAGCACTGGTCTGTGCATTGCTGTATAGAGTTAACTTGTGGTTGCTGTGATGCTAAACACTGTGACACTGATGTGCCACATGTGATAATGGTCACCCATGGTGGACAGTGTTTGGTGGAGCTTCCCGATTAAAACAAGCTTGGAAGCAGGAGTAGCATCCACTTCTGAAATGGCTTGCCTCTGGAAACTATGAACAGTGCTCAGGCCTTTCGTTCATAGGGTTGCTATGAGCTGTCTACGACCTGACAACACCTAACAACAACAACTACAGTGTTGTAAGTACAATAGTGTGGGATAAAACCTTTAATAGAGGGGTGAACCAACAGCTCTGTGAACATAGTATGGGGAAACAATTCTTGGGGAACAGCAGTAGAGACAGGGCACAGCAAGAAATTTAACAAATGAGGTGACATTTGAGCTGGTTGCCAAAGGAAGTTGCCAGATGACCATGAGCTGTATTTCCACCTTTTTCCTTAGTACTTGGAGGCCTTCAGGACAAGCCTTTGGTTTTAATCACCTTTGCTTATTTCTTGATTCTAGTCAGTTCCCTAAAATGCCATCTGACTAGATAACACTTCCTCCTTTGACAAGCTAGCTGTGCCATGCAGCTAATAGCCTCCTTTGAGTGGGCATTTTTAATGTCATCTTAGATTGTTGGGACTGATACAAAGAAGTCATTTGTTCAGCTAAGCCAGTGTGGTATCATCAGGATCTTCACTGTGTAGAGGGGCTGGCCCAGGTGTTCATTCAGCAGTCATTTACTGAGAGACTGGAGTGTTTATGCTGAGGCTGGGGATGCCAAAAAAAGGAGGAGTAAGTGATAGTCTTTGCCCTTGTGGAGGCTAGACTGTCTCTTGGGATGCACAAACATATAGCATATCTCAGTATTAAGAATACATTGTAGAAAGTGGCAAGAGTGGAGGAGGAAATAATTCCTTTTGGCTTGAGCAGGCAAGTTAATTTCTTTTTTTTAGATTTGTTGGGCACAGAAATGGATGAGTTGTAATCTCATAGTGCATCTTTAGTCTATTAATCATTAACTATTTATTATTTACTATGTGTGCCAGGCATTGTCCTAGATCTCTCAGGAGGCTGGTGATCTAATCATTGTTGTTATGTGCCATCGAGACACTTGTGGCCCATAGTGACCCTTTGTACAGCAGCACTGAAGCCTGCCCTGTCCTGAGCCAGTCTGATTCCGACAAACCAACCCCCATTACCTGAGTTACTGTATCAATCAATCAGTCTGTCTCATCTGGGGTCTTCCTCCATTGCGCTGTCCCTGCACCCTTCCGAGCATGATGTCCTTTTCCAAGAACTGGTCCCTCTTGGCCACATGCCCAAAGTATGTGAGATGGAGCTTCAGAATCCTAGCCTCCAAGGAGAAACTTGGTTTCACCCTCTCTAAGACAGACCTGTTTGTTTCCTTGGCAGTCCATGATATGTTCAAGACTCTTTTCTAGTACCACACTCAGAGATCAATTCTTCTGTCATCCTTAGCCATTGTCCAGTTTTCTGATGCATAGCAAGTAATTGCAAAGACAATGGCCTAGATTAGGCACACCTTAGTCTCTAGACTGACATTGTTGCTTTTTAGTACTCTGGAGATGATTTAATAGGTAAGATAGTTATAAAAAGGTGTGATCATGGTTATGGTAGAGAAAACGAGGTACTATGGAAGTTTATAGCCATACTGAATCCTGTGTCAGTGTCCAGGGAAGGCCTCTTAGGAAAAATGCAATTTAAGCTGAGCCCTACTAGTTGAAGACAAGAGGAGACTGTTCCCAGAGGAGGTTATAGCATGTGAGAGGGTTCAGAGGGCAGCATGGTACAGGACTGGGAGGTGTGCATGTGGAACACTTTGACTAATAGGAACATGGTGAAGAGATAAAACTTAGGCAGGGTTAGTACTTTATACCGAGGACAATGAAAAGTCAGTCACTAAAGGTGTTTAGCAGGAATATGACGTGGTCAGATTTTTATATTGTGTGAAGCGTGGAGTGACAAGGGTTAGAAACCTGAATAAAGACTCAGTGATTCCCTGAACTGAGGTGGTGGCATTGGAGAGATACATGTTTAGAGGGTAAAGTAAACACAACTAGGGGATGAATTGGATGGAGGCTTTGGAAGAAGGATGGCCAGGTTTCTAGAATAACTGGATGGAAGATGGAGTCTTCTCTGAATGAGAAAGGCCAGAAGAGGGGCAGGTTTGCAGAAGAAAAGCGTACTTTCAACCTTTGACTTACTGAGTTTCAGATATCCAAGGGACAATTGAGTGGAAATGCCTTGGTTGGGTTTTGGAGTTGAGGTGTTGAGATAGGTCCTGCATGGAGTTTTAGGAGTCAACAAAATAAAGACTGAAAAAGAAAAATGGGATCATTGGCCAATGGGGAGAGTGGCATGAGAGAAGGATTTTGTCAGGCAAATGCTCTTAAAAGATATGCTAAACATCAAAAAGAAAGGCTTCATTCATGGAAAGGTGACATTTGGAAACCAACCTGAGGGGAGATTAGACTCTGGACTTGTATTTAAGGGAGAAAGGCTATGCTTGGTCGGCTAAGGCATTTAGCATGACCTCAGATGGTTGACTCCTGTGCTGTGTTTATGTTGTGAGGCAGCTGGCTTTGGGGGCAGATTGCAATCTCATTTCTTGTCTCTCTCAGCACCTTCTCACCCCAAGGGTGGAGGAAGGTTTGAAGGACATGAAGAAATTGAGACTTCTTAGTCCCCTTATTCACTGTGTTCTTTGTCTTTCTGCCTTTAGACCCTTGGAAAGCAACCCCTCTTTCAGAAGGCACCTTGGAGGATACACTCTAAATGCAAGAAGAGGACAGTCCATCTGAAGTGAAGTATCCAGGCTAGACCATGGCGGTGGCCTTGGAATCCCAGGCCCAGGCCTCACCCCTGCCAGAGCCAGAAGGATTACTGATTGTGAAGCTGGAGGAGGACTCATCCCAGGAGGAGGACCGGGACCCAGTCCCTGTCCCTGTCCCTGAGGCCTCCCGCCAACGCTTCAGGCAGTTCCAGTACAAGGATGCAGCTGGACCCCATGAGGCCTTCAGTCAGCTCTGGGAGCTGTGCTGTCGCTGGCTGAGGCCAGAGATCCGCCTCAAGGAGCAGATCCTAGAGCTGCTGGTGCTGGAACAGTTCCTGACAATCTTACCTACAGAGGTCCAGGCCTGGGTGCAGGCGCACCACCCCGAGAGCGGGGAGGAGGCAGTGGCCCTGGTGGAGGATTGGCACCGAGAGGCCCAGGCTACCCAGCAGCAGGTGAGGCCATAGTCTTTTCATTAAGGAGGGGCTTGGGCAGTTAGCTCAAACTCAGACTCACAGCTCTGGGCTCTGTCTTCTCTCAGACTCATCCCCCCAGCATGACCCTCCAGCCTTCATACTTGTGAATCAGTGGTTTTCTTTAAGAGAAATCCAACTGCTCTCCACTAAGTGCTCCCTCCCACTGACTGCTCTCATCCCTCACTTTCCAATACCCCTAAGTTCTAGCTCAACCAGGTGCAAATAGGAGGTCCAGCTTGGATTCACAACATATGTGGAGTCTACTGTGGTCCCTGCTCCGAGGTGAAACAAGGGCAAGGGATGCAAATTAGGATTGCTCTTCTTCCCTAAAGCAATGGAGTAAATGTCTATAAAAATGCTTTTAAATATGTACAGAATATAAAATCTGCACATGTCAAACTACCTGCACTTTACAACCAACAAAGAAAGTAAATAAGACATGGAGTAAGCATCAGGGTGAGTGCCTTTTTTAATCTATTGCATCTCAGCCTTTTGGCTGAGATCAAGTGGTGGTGTTCTTATCATTTTAGTATCTGATACATCTCTGCCCCAGGGTAATATATTAAATGGACTTTTGAAGTTAGGAGATGGAATAGGAGCTTGCTCTACCCACTCCATGCATCATCCTGGTATTACAGTGTTTTCAGCAATGGTGTAACCCTTTTTGGGGGTAAAAAATCTTGTCTTTTTTTAAAAAGACGAGAGTTAGTGCTTTAGTGGCAACAGTTATATTTTTGTGAGAATAGCAATAGGTGTTGTCTTTCAGCTATTGTGATGTTTGGTTTTGTTGCTGTACTTTTATCCTTGTTATTTTTGAGACCCTACAGTCAGTTTTTCTCATTTTGGTCTAGTTAGTGTCCCTGAAACTCATCTAGCAAGTGTCACCTGGCTTTGTTGTTGTTAACTATGGCTCATAGTGATCCTTTGAGCAACTGAAGAAACCTTCCCCTGTCCTGCACCAGCCTTCTCATCTGCCCTGCTTGAGCCCATTTTTATAGTTAGTCCATTTGTTGAGGGTCTTCTTTCTCTGACCCTCCACCTTTCCCATCACGGTATCTTTTTCAAGGACAGGTTCCTCTTGACAATATGCCCAAAATCTATCAGATGAAGCTTCACCATCCTTGCCTCTAGGGAGCATCTGGTTGCACCTTCTCTAAGATAGACTTCTTGCTCTTTTTGTAGTCCCTGGGGTATATGCATTCCTCTTTGCCACCACCACAATTCTTCTTTGGTTCCTTATTCATTGTCCAGCTTTCAGATGCATACAAAGCAATGGAAAGTACCATGACTTGATCAGGTGAACATTAGTCTTTATTTAAACTGACATCTTTGCTTTTTAGCATTTTGAAGAGGTCCTTGACAGTAGATTTCCCAATGCAACAAGAAATCTTAATTTTTTTTTTTTAATTTTTATTTTATTATTTGTGTGTGTGTGTGTTCCGTCAAATCAGATCTGGCTCTTGGCTGGAGACTTGCTTCAAGTAGGTTTTCTAGAGGTACTTCTTAAAGGTTGTGGGGTTTTTCCAGAGTTCAGCAGCATGTGTGTTCAAAGGGCTGTCGATGTTGGGTTCTCCTAGCAGGCTCTGGAAAGAGAGGAGGATGGTTCTGACGTTATACAGGGCAGACCACATGTCCTTCACGAAGTCTAGGCAGATGTTACCCTGAGTGTCCACACTGGGATGATACCAGGGAGTGAAAAACTTCACTGCGGGCACGTTGTAAGGGTAGCCGCTAGGGAACTCTGGGGAGAGATTATACCTCAGGTCTTCATATACTGTGCCACCGGCTCCATGAATGGTCCCTATCCATTTGAAAAGGTTGTCGGATTCAGGAAAGGCAGAAATCCCTTTGTCGCCAGACATCATGAGGGTTATCAGCTCCTGCTGTAGCCTCTTGCCCACGGAGCCCCGGGCAGCGCCCCCGCTAGGCTCTGTCCCTTTTTTGGGAAGCAACAACGCTGGCTGTGGCTGGGTCATAGTTCTGGGAGGCCATCCAGTCGGCAGAAAGACAACACGGCTTGGAAGACACGACAGCAACTGCAGGGCCTGTTGTTCCCATTTTACAGATGAAGTTAAGTCCCTCAAAAGTCAAGTGGCTCATAATGCTCAGGGAACTAATGAACTAGAGCTTAAACCCAGATCTGTAGGTTCTAAGCCATCATTCTTCCTGTTACACAATAGATACCTCATCTGCAGACCATGAAAATGAAAATACCTTTGAGGTATAAGGCTCAAAATGAGCCATTAATGGGCATTTATTGAGCACTCACTGTCAGATACTGTTCCAGGCTTTTTATGTGTCTAATCAACCAGCAGTTCAGTAAGGTAGGCATCATTACCAAGGAGTATCTGAGGGGTGCACATGGTTAAGTGCTAGCTGCCAACTTGGGGAGCTCTTCATCTATAGGAGTTGTGCTGCTGACCCAGCCGCTGCACCTTTTGCAGTTTGAATCTACTAACGGCCCTGAGGGAGAAGGATGAACATTCTCCTCCTGTGCCATTTATAGCCGTAGAAAACCAACAGAAGACAGCTGTGAGTTAATTCCCAACCTGATAGCATTCACAAAGGCACCTTGGAAGAAAGGCCTGGTGACCTGCTTTTGAAAGGTCACAGCTTGAAAACCCTGTGGGATGCAGTGCTGTTGTCACACACATGGGGCCATCATGAGTTGGGGGAGGGGCAACTCAGCAGCAGTAGGGGGTTTGTATTCTTTTTTTTTCTCTAAAAAGACAACAGAGCTTGGGTTTTGTATTTTTTTGGAGGGGGGTTGTATTTTAAATTACCAATTTTTCAACTGGGTTTAGAGACACAGAGAGGTAAGTAAGTTGCCCAAATTTATATAATTGAGAGGTGGAGCGGAAAAAAAAAATTAAAAATGGTGGAGTTGAGATGGAGCAGGTGTAAGTATTGTAGATTTAACATTCGCACTGAAAGCCCACGATGTGATTTTGTTGTGACATATTTCAAATCCTTTTTGAAGCTAGTGTATGTAAGTCCTTTAGTTCACTGCCCAGCCGCTCAGGACTCTCATCTCATCCTCATCCCATTGCTTTCCATGTGTCATACGATATTATTCATAGCTGCATTTTGCTGGGGGAAATTACAGGTTTGAGATTATATGCCATGACAGGGTTTTTCTGTCTGTCAAAAGACATGTAAGTAAGATTGGAGAGAAAAAGATTGTGTCTTTTCTTTTTGGATGCCTTTACAAACTGAAGATATAGAGCGAATATTTACTTACAGATCTAAGTATGAGAGAAAATGTACCATTTGCTACTCTGCCATCCCACCTCCCATATTCTTTCTTTTAAAGAAACCAACTGTTTTTCTTAAGTAGCAGTGAACAAACAAAATTTTAGGACTTCAGAAGTGGAAGGTGAAGAATTTGAGAACCAGAGATGAGAATTGACTTAAAGAAAAATTTTTATAATTATTCATTTATTAAATGAGGGCTTTAGTTTAAATCCAAAATTCTCAATCGATGCAGTAAGAATTTGCACCGAAATCCTGAAGCCATGTTGTTTGAACCCACCAGCTGCTCTGTGGGAGAAGGATGGACAATCTTCTCCCGTGTGATTACTGCCTCTGAAAACCCACTGGATGGTCAGCTGTGGGTCGGTTCTGACTCCATGGCACACAACAACAGATAACAAGATCAGTTGAATTCCTCCTAAAATTGAGAGGGAAAACAAATCTAACCTAATCTATTATATATTTTTCTCCTGTTATGTTCTTTGTTTTTAATTTTTTAGTGTACTCCCAGGCACCCACAAATGTCAAAACAAATAGATAAGCAACAATGGAACATGGTTTTGGAACACATAAATTGTAGCTTGTTAACTTATGCTGCACAGTACTTAAGTTACTTATATTTTCTACAAGTAAATTACTTCTAGGTCTCTGGAATGCTGTTTAAAGTTATTACCAAAGAGGAATCTAGAAATGCTTTTATAGAACATGTCTTTCTCACTTAGTTTTTAAAGTTGTTGTAAGGTTTTAAATCTGATATACAATAAATCTTCCTACCTCCTGCTTTGAGTCTGAGTGCTTTATGTATCTTTCTATTCTTAGACTTAGATGTGCCCCTTTAAAGGAGTTCAGTGATGTTGGCCATAATGTGTTATGCTGCTAAGCAATAGGTCAGAAGTTTGAATCCAGCTGTTGCTCTGTGGAAGGAAGATGAGCAGTCTCCTCCTGTAAAGGTTTATTACCTCAGAAATTCAATGGACGGTTGCTGTGAGTCAAATCAGTTTGATGGCAGAGGGTCATGCCTGGTGAACAGCACGCACTTTCTTTTCAAATCCCATGTTTTTAATTCTTTACCTTTTTGGTATAGTCCAAACTGTTTACCTTTTAGACCAGCTATTTAGAACTATGGTATTTAGTGTTTTATTTTTAAATTTTATAAAATACTTCCATTTGCCTTTTTAGATAACCTATTTTTGATGCACAGGGATCACATGTCACAAACGTTTCACATGCTTTAATCATACCTCTTTATGATTCAAAAATACTTTGAATAGTGAGTATCACCTTGTTGGGAACACTTGTGTAGCCTCCTCCCATCACAAAGGAGAGTTCTCGTTGTTATAAAATCAAAATAAAACCAAACCTACCACCCTAAAATTGATCCATTTGTAACAGCCCGTTAGAGAGAGTAGGGCTGTCACATAAGCTTTCAAGGCTGTAAATCTTTACCAAAACAGATGGCAGAGCTACTTTCTCCTTTTTCTCCTGCAGGGATGCTTGTAGGTTTTAATTGTTCACCATCAAATGCTTACCCACTGCACCACTAGTGCTGGTTAATTTGCTGAAGTTGGTATATGATGGCTAATGTGGTTATTTTGTACCATTGAGTCAGAACTGACTCATAGCTGACCCTCCAGCAGGTCTTCAGTTTAATCACACAAGAGGAGATTGCCCATTTTTCACCTACGGAGAAGCTGGTAGATTCAAACTATGTGCCTTTGGGTTGAGAGCAAAGCTCCTTACCACCAGAGCTCCCTGAGACTTTATAGTCATCCTCTATTTAAGCTATCTTTGGATTTTAAAAGCACCTCTTAGGTTTTGGACTGTAATTGTGCTCAAGATAATTTTGCACCAGAGTATATCTTCTAGAACTAATAATTAAATATTTTGGCTATCTCTGTGTAGGAACCAGAATCATGTGCAGAGACCAAGTCCTTAAAGGCAATGCCGGCATCACAGAACTTCCAGCCAGTGGATCACTGGCCTGAAGGGCAGTCCCCAAAGCAGTGGGAGAAGAGTCCAAACCTTGACCTTCCAAAGCATCTAAACACCAGGGTGAAGCCAAAGTCCTTGAAGGAGAGTGGTGAGTTCCCAAACCACCAGGGGAACACTAGGAATGGAGCCCTATACCTCAGGAGGAAGGGGTGGATCATAGGGAAGTATGTCTAACAGGAAGCAGATTTCACAGCAAGGCATAGGACTAGTGTCTGGTGGACATACTTACTGAAGAGTAGGTAAGTTAAGTGTTTGAGAAGAGGGTGCAGCTCCCAGCCCCATTACATCCCATTGTAGCCTGTCATGCAGCAGGTGGAGACAGGCTGGGGCTGAAGCAGAGCAATGATTGTGGGAGTTCAAGGCAGGTACCTTACATGTGGCCACAAGACATGTCACTCAAGGCAGCCTGGGAGCTAGACACTCTAAAGGGAACTAAAAGACCGCAGAGTTTGTTCCACACATGATTTTTCTGAAACCTGGAGTTTAGGATTCAGGGAGAGTGTCTCATTGGAATCTAGAGTTTGAGTTTCAAAGGGTTTTTTTTTTTCCCCCCTTCTCAGCTGTTCTCACTCCCCGGGTCCCTATTCTCCCAAAGATGGGGAGCACTGGCGACTGGGAGGTGACTCCTGAGTCCCAGGTAAGCTGTTATGTTTTCTTCCTTACCTGTCACCATTGCCTCTGTGCCCTTCCCCACTCGATCCCACCCCACCTCCTTGTCTCCCAGTACTGCTTCTTGCTGCTCATGGCCTCCACTTGGCAAAGGGCAAAGTTCAGTAGCTGCCCAGACTAGAGGCCTGTTTTTCCCACTCCCAGTTCTCTTTATTTGGCTCCTTAAGATACTAGCCCCACACATGGTACCTTGCATTCCCATTATCTTTCCAGGGGCCTGGTAAGGTATCAGGCTTTTTAAAAGGTTGTGGCTTTTGAGATGCCATAGAAGCCATCGATGATCTCTTGTGAATCTTACAGGAAGCCCTGGGACACAGAAAACATGCTGAGAAGGAATTCTGCAAGGAACCCCCTGGAGATGACTGTGGGAACAGCACATCCCTGGGTAAGGAAGCAATGCCTTGTGAAGAAAGGGCCTTCACATTTCTGTCATATTCTTTTCCCAGAGTGCCTTGTCTCTCCTTTCACACTGAACTTCTAAGTTGGAGGCCAGGTTCTCTCTGTCTATGTCTGTGTATTTCCAGCTTAGAAAGTCTTGACCTCATTTGTCTTTGGCAGCTATCTTTTAGTCATGAAGTGAACTAGCTTTGATAGGAAGTCAAGACTTGGAAGAGCAAAGAGAAAGAACAAACCTGAGTTGAGTCTCTGAGGACATCACTAAGCTAATTTGTACCATGGTTAGAGTATATACCCCTTTTCGACCTCAAAAAAAGAGTGAGAGAATAGGTTCCCTTCTTTTTAAAAACCATCAACTGTATTTAAATAACTGCTGTCCCAGTAGCTTGCAGCTGTAGCAGAATACTTTGTCTCACACTCAGTGGCACCAAGTCAGAACTGACTCTTAGCTGACCCTTCAGGGTTTCAGAGGCTCTAAATCACGTGGGAAAAGATTGCCCATCTTCTTCCTGAGGAGCTGCTGGTGGATTTGAATCACCAGAGGGATGTGCCCTTTCGGTTAGCAGCACAACTCCCTATAAACTGTGCCATCAAAACTATGCTAAACAGGAAGGCTATAATTAAATAACGTACTGTGACAGCAAAGCAAGAGTGGCATCCATTTCCTAAATAACATGCCTCCAGAAACTCAATGAACTTTGATAAATGTTGGTAGTTGTACAAGGGCTTCAGGCCTTTTGTTCATAGGGTCCCTATGAGTCCTGCTCGACTTGAAGGCAATCAGCAACAACAACAACAACATTTAAATAGGTTGTTGTGTTGTTGTTAAGTGCCGTCGAGTTGTAGGCAACTCATAGCGACCCTATGAAGGAGAGTCCTTGACACTTGGATGCCTTTCATCCTCTCTCCAGGTTCATAGGGTTTCCAGAGGCAAGCTGTTATGGAAGTGGATGCCACTCCTCCTTCCACGCTTATTTAATCAGGGAGCTCCACCCCACTCTCAGTCCGCATTGAGTAGCCAACCATTAACGCATTTGACACATCCGAAAAACAGATGCAAAAGAGCAAAGAGACTCAAAAATAGAGTTTAATATTTCTTTTTGTTCCTTGGAGCGCTTTCCTTCCAGATATGATATGAAAAAGGGGCTCCCCTGTTAAGTAAAGCACCAATGAGCTTCTAGTACCATCCCTTAGGCATGAATCAGACTATCATAGCTTCTTTCATTTTCACCTATTTATGTATTTTCTCACATACTGAGCATAGACTCCACAGAAAAATGGCTCATTAGTTGGTTTCCTGTGTAGATGTGTCTACGAGAAAGAAACTCTGATAGTCATATGGACTTTATTTGCTTATTTCTCATTGAGGTTTAATATATCCCCTATGGGAGACTTTCCATCTTCTTTTAATACTTTCTGGATCATTTAATATTCTGCCCAAAGCATCCTTAAGTATAGCAACTTGAGGTTTGAGTTTGTTCTTCAGTTCCTTGAGCTTAGGAAATGCTAACGAGTTTGGCCATTTTGATTTTCTGACTCTGGCTTCTTGCACATTTCATTGTAATACTTTGCTTTGTCATTCCGTGCTGCCTTTTGGAATCTTCTGTTCAGCTCTTTAGTGTCTTGGATTCTTCCTTGTGCTTTGGCTTCTCTATGTTCCATTGCAATCTTCAGAGTTTCTTCTGACATCCATTTTGGTCTTTTCTTCCTCTTCTGTCTTTGTAATGACCGTTTGCACTCTTCCTGGATGATACATTTAACATCCTCCCACAACTCATCTGGTCTTTGCTCATTGGTGTTCAAGGCCTCAAACCTGTTCCTAAGATGGTTCTGAAATTCAGGTGGGTTAGACTCAAAGTCATGTTTTGGTTCCCGTGGATTTGATTTCATTTTCCTTAGCTTCAGCTTGGACTTTCATATGAGTAGTTGGTCTTTTTCACAGTCAGCACCTGGCCTAGTTTTCACTAGGTGATACTGAGCTTCTCCAGTGATTCTTTTTACAGATGTAATCAGTCTGATTCCTATGCATACCATAAGGTGAAATCCATGGGTATAACCTGCGTTTATGTTTCTTATAAAACATATTTGCAGTGAATAAGTCATTGATTGTACAAAATTCAATCATTCTATCTCCAGCTTCATTTCTGTCACCGAGTCCATGTTTTCCAATTACTGATCCTTCTTCTCTGTTCCCAACTTTTGCATTCCAGTCACTCATTATTATTAATGCATCTTGATTGCATGTTCAATTGATCTCTGACTGTAAAAGTTGGTGGAAATTTTCCATTGCCTTTTCTTTGGCTCTGGTTGTTGGTGCATATATCTGAATGATAGTGGTATTCACTGGACTTCCTTGTATGCGTATGGATATTATCCTGTTACAATATTGTATTTCAAGACATATCTAGAAATGACTTTTTTAACTATGAAAGCAACCCCATTTTTCTTTACCTTTTCATTTCTGGAGTACTAGATCATATGATTGTCTGACTCAAAATGCCCCATGCCAGTCTTATCTCATCTCCACAATACCTAGTATGTAAATATTTATGCGTCCCATTTTGAGGCTCTATATCAAGAAGACAAAGGTTCTCACCACTGAGCCAATTGGCAGCATCAGGATGGATGGTGAAGAGATTGAGATTGTTAAGAGCTTTAGTTTACGTAGCTCCACAGTCAACATTCTTGACACCAGCAGCCAGGAAATGAAAAGACATATAGTGATGGGAAAGTCTGCTGTTAGGGACCTCTCCAAGGTACTGAAGAGCAATGGTGTCACTCTGGAGACTAAGGTGCACCTAATATAGGCCATGATCTTTGCAGTCACTTGCAATGTTTCATAGAGCTGGGCAATGACTAGGGAGGATAGAAGAAGAATTGATGCCTTTGAGCTGTAGTGTTGGAGAAGAGTATTAAATATACCATGGACTGCTAAGAAAACAAACAGGTTCATCCTAGAGAGGGTTAAACCAGGCAGCTCCTTAGAGGCAAAGATTCTGATACTTCATCTGACATACTTTGGACGTGTTGCAAGGAGGGACCAGTCCTTGGAGAAGGATGTCATGCTTGGGAGGGTGGAGGGACAGTGCAGGAGAGGAAGACCCTCTATGAGGTGGACTGATTCAGTGACTAGGGTAAGGGGGCTAGATGTGTTGAAGACAGTGAGATAGAGCAAGGTTTAGGGCTGTTGTGCATAGGGTCACTATGAGTCGTAGGCAATTAGATGGCACATAACAACAACATCCACTATGGGGGACTTAATTCATTTGAATCTGCCCCTGAGAGATAGTTCCTATATCTTGTTGTTGTT